TTAAATGCAAATATAAATTGTCAATTTTAAAATCTTATGCACAAGTTTTGCAAACAACAAAGTTATTTGCATCCATTTACCTTTTTTAAACTTTTTAAATAACCATTTCAAACTATTTACAGAACAATCAGCTGTTCTGCATTCAATAAGATGCCACAAAAATTATTTGTGCCACTCCAAATATTTCTGTCCACTATAAAGGAGAACATCACAGCCTGATACCTGCAGGTCTGACAGCAGCAGGTGTATCACTCCTTTTTCTACATGAAGACAGCAGTCGCCTCATTGTTCTGACACTACACGCTAACCACACAAGACAACACATTAACTACATGGTGAAGACAGTCAGCTATCTGAAGCAAAGAAAAAAAAAAGAAAGAAAGGAAAAATCAGAGCCCGTGTGCAAAACCACACGGATCATACCCAGAGCTCCAATAACACGTTTTTAAGCATTAAGAATAATAAAAATGTGAAACATGCTGAAACCTATTAAAGTGGACGTTTAAGGTAATGTAGTTCAGCATTTATAGACGTAATTTTCCAGCTGCAGAGCAATTATTTTGTAAATTATAAATGTAATGTGGCAGGTTTCTCTCACTAATCTGACATTAATGTAACGTTTGTTTATTTTCCTGCCCTAAGAAATTTTAAATGGCCTAATTTTGAAAGCCTAATTTTACTCAGATTTTTATGGCGTAAATGAAAAAAGCAAATAACATACTAGCAAATTTACTTTCTATACACACCTCATTGTTTCTCAAGCTGTGAGAAACAACAGAAAAATGTAACAAAGACTCATTCCAAATGAGGGCAAATTTTTTATAACAACAACAAATGCCTATTTTGAGAGAGGAAAGGCGATATAGACATATAATATGTTAGTTATATTGAAAAAGGAAGATGATGGGTTAACTACTTATTAGTTTTCCTGCAGTATAGTTCATAAACTAGTTAGAACATAACTAGTTAGAACTTATAAGGTTCTTCATCTTCTTTCCCCAGCTTCCTTTAGGGGTCGCCACAGTGGGTCATCTGCCTCCATCTCACCCTATCCCAACATCCTCCTCAATTTCTGATTGTGCACTTCCTGGTCCCTTCTAATGACAATCTAAACATGTTCAGCTCTGCCACCGCCAGCTTGGCCTCCTGACTTTTTATCAGTGCCATCTCGTCTCAGGTCTCTCTACCATCATGTAAACCTTCACTTTCACTCTACTGCTATCCTTCAGTCACAAATCACCCTTGACACTCATTTCCACCAACTCCAACAGATAAAACTGACTTTATAACAAAAATGTCTATATTTTGTGCATATAGTTATCAACTGAAGTTAAAATAGGGCTAGATTGTACTATTCTGTATTAACAGTTTGTTCCATAAGATGGTGTAGAAAGTCAACATGAGAGGAAGAGGAAATATGGAGAAGCAGAGGAAGCACCTGGGAAGTAACCGTTATCAGCAGCAGCATCACCTACCAGAGGGAAATCAAGTGAAACAAGAGTAAACATAAGTGCAGCTTTCCACTGCTGGAGACAGCTCATTGAAAATACAGAAGTTAATGAGGATGCTGAGTATATTACTGGTATGATAAAAGCTGTTGGTGCTAATTTTCCCAGTCAAAAATAGCTATGAAGCAAGATGCTATTTGCAGTGGGTGTGCTGTTATTGGTATGTGATTTAGACAAAAGACAGTTGTGATCCTCTCAGGTAGAGAACATATCCAGATCTTTACTGGGGGATCTCAGGTACATTTTATTACTACACAGGAACTGGTACTTAGATTTAGTATTTCTAGTAAAATGCTGCCCCTGGTGGTGAAAGTTCTAGTTAAATTTTACAGAGGGTGATTTCAAAAAACACTTCTACTGTGTTGACATTGTGTGAATATGAGCCTCTCTTTGCTCATTGGTGATGCATAATATGTTGCAAACTTAATTCTTTTTAACAAACTATGTGATTATACAATTTCTAAATTACCCTAAGCATTTTCTCTGCAAAACAAGAAAAGAATTTGACTGGCTCTTCATTGACTGCATTGTTTGAAGGCGTTTCCATGTTCCATGTTGTGTAGTGCCACATGCACTACACAACAGGGTCAAGAACATACAACTACAAACGGAGCCTTGTAGGAGACCAAAATTGGATAAGCTGAAAGAATAAGAAACTTAGTTTTTCCTGACAGCATGCACGGCAGCACAGTTTGTCACTCATAAATCAAACGTCGGCACAGGATGACACCCGGTACTCTGTCTCAAATGGATATGACCTTTACTTCATCATGGCATTCTTTAAACTGCCACAAGAAAAGAATACTGATAACATTGTTGTTATACTGTATTTATAGCAGTCTGAACTATATACATTTTATACAGTGTTAAAATACAGATTATACTACTGTAGACTCCAGTTTTATAATTGTGTTATTATAATAGCCCATTTAACAGCCAAAAATAAATGAAAATCAATACCAAATAGCCCAAAACAGAACAAATTAATTGATAAAAACATGTTCCTTAATTAGGTGCGCTAAACTGAACAGATAAAGAATCATGATCCTCCCAAAATGAGGTCATAGCAGGAAAAATGCTTGCACAGGTTGCAGGATTCACGAAGAAAAACATAGTTACATTAGCTGGAATGGAAAAAGATAAATTCTGATATCTTTCAGCATTTATCTGTTGTTTCAGCAATATCTCAGTATTCTTTCCCATCTCAATTAGTCCTGTTCTCTGCTTGCAACATTTCTGCAGATAAGATAACAACACTGAAAGTGCCTCTTCCTTGTCAGTTTGATAAAAAAAAAAATAATGCCAGTACAATTTTAGCTGTTTAAATGACTTGATGTTTCCACATGTATTTGGACAGTGCCACACAGCAGATCATTGTGACAAGAACAGTCCCTCCGCATACGTGTGCCACCAAAGACCCATCACCCACTGGGAGCTGGAAACTCACTGGATTGAGATCCTATAAGGCAAAAGGGAAACAAGTGAATAATTGAGTTTTGTTTGTTTTGGTTTTTTTTTATCACCTTTTCACTCAAGATTTGTTGAAATATTGTTCACAATCACCTGCTGAGGCTTGACTTTAACCCAAGAACAAGTGCTTGAATTGCTAGGAGTGCATGGTGCATCCACAACTGTGTGAGGCTCTAAGCTGCTGAGCTGTGCGCCTGGATAAGAGAAATAGTTTTAGAAGAAAGTGTTTCAGAAAGCCAACGTGAAAAGGCTTTAAGTCACGTTTTTGTTTTTACACTATAAAGTTTTGATCACTAAACTTATTATATGTATGTAACCTATGACTGTTGTATCCACAACCACAAAAGTGAAATAATTTGGTAATATTCATTGACACTCCACTTTCATAGAAAACAGATACAGATTTAGGTTTTTACGCTCCCACATCATTTAGTTTAATTATGCAGTCAGGTAAAATTGTATTGCGAACAGTAAGGTTGATTTAATGTATTTAGTTAATTTGTTTCATAACACATTGTGAAACAAAATTGTATTTTAAATATCACATTTGGTTTACATTGTTTTCCGTCTGTATAGATTTACACAGTGTCAGAAATTACTATAAAATAAAATGAATCCACTTACATTTTTCTGACCGCAGCAGCAGCTCTGGAGCTTCTATGTCAACAGATTTAAACATTTTTCCGTCAAACGAGGGCTTGTGGTAGCGACCATGTATTGGAATTGTTACTTTGAATAACTTGGAAGTTGGTCCAGTGGAGAAAGGATACACATAGGTGACAAATCCTGAAGCTTTGTGAGCAGGAACCTCAAGGTCAATGGCTGAATCTAGTAATATCTTACAAAGTAATAATAATACAGAAATAATTAAATAAAACATATATACTGTACACATGTTTTGTACATGACTGTGGTTTGTAGTAGAATTTTACACTGTGTTATGCTATATCTAGTTGCTCGGCATCTTACCTTCCAATCGTTTTGATCACTAAGGGATGCAAGTTGATATGGATCAACATAGACATCTCTGGGCCATCTATGAATCAGCAAAACTTTGACACTACTGAGCTCTTTGGATCTGAACTCAACTGTAGTTGTCACCTCCCTAAAACATATTAGAAAATATCATTGATTTTCCTGACAAGCAGCACCAAAGGCAGAACAGCTTTCTTTTGAGAAAACAAACAACCGAATACCTGTGGAAACCCTTTTTGTTGAGCTCCACTCTCACTAATGAGGGCGCAAGCCACTGCCTCAGAAGATCACAGTGGTTCTGAATCTCATCTGCACAAATTAGCAGGTTACACTGATCAGTATCTCCAAGTAAAAGCTTTTTGAATTTGAACAAGATGCATTTGTTTTTCAAACTGTGCTAGATTATATAAGTCATGTTATCCATACAGGGGTATATTTACAGTACTTTTTTGTCTACTGGAAAAATACTATTCCTTCCTTCAAACTTTAACCCCCCCCCCGCCCCCCCAAAGAAAAAAAACAACAACAACAACACACACACACAAACAAACCCAACAACTTAATTTAAGTGACCTTCAATCAATAATAATGAGAGCTTATTGAATGATTATCGAGTTTTCACGTAAAACCTAGTTCACGTACCCTTTTCGTCCAAACAGAGACATTTCGAGAATAAGCTCAACGCAGAAACAACATAGAACAGTTTAAAATACATTAAAAAATATAATGGCCAACGTGTGACGCGTGTTTATTTAACTCAAGTACAGCTACCACCGCTAAAGCCCTTTTTTGAAGTGTTTACGGAAGAGGATTTTTTGAAAGCCCCTTTTGTAGTTTCAGGGAGCCTGCAAATGTGCCTGTGTACAGATTGAAAAACACAAGCTTTTAAGGAAACATTTAGTAACATTTATAGACATAGAAAGTAGTTTTCAGGAATAAAATTAATAATAATGATACGTGAAAGTTAAATGATTTTATATTATTTTTTTAAATCAGAAATTTAACGTCAGGCATCCCAACAGACAGAAGCGTCTTTGCGTGAAGGCTCTGCTGGCAACCTGGCAACGCGTAATCATCGCTGAAGCCGCTGCTCAATTTTTTTTTATTCATACTGTGCGCTAGTAGCAACAATTATGGCTGGGATGTTTCTGTTTTAAACATGTTTAAATTGATGGTCGGATTGAGTTAAGTTTGTTTGTTGTAATAGAAGTACAGGATGCGTTTTGCGGCAAAGCGCTGCGGGGTGCAGTTCAGCCCTCCGTCCATAGTTTTAATTTATGAGCACACGGAAACCAAAAAGGTGCGAAAAAGAATAATACCTGTGCGAAATTTCTCCAAATACTCCGGTAAGGCACCACGGACACGTTGGGACTCGTTTTCTGTGCTCCATGTCACATGTTGCAATAAAGCCTTTCATTCATTCATTCATTCATATAAGAATAGAAATAGCTGGAATCAGTGTGAGAATATTATTTTAGCCTCGTTTGCTGTATATTAATAATTATATAATACTCTAGTAAATCTAACAAACCTGTCAGAGTCATGAGCCCCTGAGGTTTTAATTTCTATATCTTGTGGATAGCAGCAGGTAGATTACCTGCAAGCTGTTGAGCCTCAGGCTCCTATTTTTGACTAAAATAGGAGCATCTTACTTTCTTTAACTAAGGTCATTGCTAGTGAGTGTTAATAATAAAGGACTAATATGTAATACATGGAAATATACCTTTATCGTGCTGCGTTTTTTCCTTCCTGTTTTTGTTTTGTTTTCTTGTTAGCCCATTTTTTGAGACATAGTTACTGTGATCAGAACTGGAGTCATGAATGCACACTGCATTAACATATGTATGTAGCTTAGTTTGTCACAAAGTAACTGGGCAGGACTACAACCATCCTACTACCTCATGCTGTCTCTTCCAGACTACAGCATGGCTGCTGAAAGGCTGAAGAACAACCCTCGGCACAGGGACTACCTGGAGGGTGTCTCTCAAAGCCAGCTTGAGAAGCTTCACATTATCCTGCGTGATCACATGCAGGGCTTCAGTCTGGAGCACAGCCTCTCCTCGTTCTGTCTGGACCCTGACGAAGACCTGAACAAACTGGACGATGAGGACCTGGCACGCAAGAAAGGCCAAATGGACGAACTGTTTGAGAAAAACCGGAGACGCAAAGATGATCCTGACTTTGTTTACGACTTGGAAGTTGATTTCACTAAGACCACCTTAGACAAGTGCAGCTGGGATGATGAATCAGATGATGGATTTTGAAACTCTCTCTTTACCAATGTTTTAATTAAGAATGTAGATTGTAAATCTATAGTGAGACTGCAGGAACATACAACCCAACTGATGTAGATGGCAATGCTTCAATAAACGTCAATATAGTAGAAATACTATGCCTTTAATCAAACAAAAAACCACCATGAACCTCCGTTAATGGCAAGCAAAGACCAAAGCCTGTTAATCAAGGGAAACTAGAGCTATGATTTGGTGTCTGTGTACCATAGCATTGATCTGTAAAATCTTCTTGGGCGCTGATAATTGGTGTCTGTCTTGTGTCAGTGACATAAAAGACGGATTTAATGCGACATGACCATTCAAACCATGTTTTAGTTGCTTTCTAAAACATCAGATATGTATCGGATTCAGTACCACATACGAAAGTGACCCAGATCGGATTTGAAAATATCAGATTTGTGCTGTTCACACTGTCATACCATAATCAGATATGGGTCACATAGGGTCAAAAAAGTTGGATTTGATGCGCTTTCGCCTGCAGTGTGAACGTAGCCTTTGTGACAACCAAAAGACAGATATTAAATTTATGACATCCAGTGACTGCAGTCTCTAACACTGATGACATAAAGCACCCATGTTAAGGCAAATTACTGCACCTGAAATACTGTTACCCAACTAACCCATAGTTTAAGTTTGTTAAGAGTTTCCCTCAGGTCAGGGTTAATAAACTCCATTTTTAATAACTTGCTTTTGGGAACAGGCCTCCAGCAACACCTAGACTTCATTCATGAAATGAAACAGGCAGAGTTTAGAGGAAGATTTCTAAATCAGGGGGAAAAAAAACAAACAATGTTTGAGAACAACCTGATAACATAATGATAACAAACAAAATTCCATTTTAAGCTGCAGTAAACAAAATCATGCATGGATAATAGTGAATCTTTATTTGTTATAAAATACTGAATTTTACAAAATACAAAGACTTTGGTTCTTTTATCTGTGGCTTACACCTAGATGAGTGATATTCACAGTTGAATATGAAAAGAAGATTCTAAAATCCTATTAAATAAAATCTGAGGGTACACCAGGAAGTAAGCAATACAACAAATATATCTTTGGGGGGAAAAATGTGTGCACAAAATAGTTTTATATCATACAAAATATATATATATACTTCCATATATATGGTTTGACATGATGTTCTATGGCAAAGTTTTAAAAGAGATAAACTATAACATAAAACTAAGCCTGCATTATCAAACCTTGTAAGGGGAAAATGTCATTCAAAGTGCTTAAATACCTCATTCAGTTGACAATAGACACTGACTGACTGACTGACCATAAGTACCACAATACATTCAAAGATGTCGCAGGTTTTTGTTAAAATGCAATACAGAATGACTTTACATTGCTTTGCTAGTTTGGTTTAAGCTAATCAAAACAGTTTTTTACATTGTTATCAATTGCAGTCATTTTTGCAGTGCCGATGTATTCCCTAAGGAGGTAGTAACAAAAAAACTGACAATTCCTTTTCCCATCACCATTTACACATGGATTAGGGCATCTGAATTGTAAATTCTCAGCAGGCTGTTAATTTATTTTAAAAAGTCATTTATAAAACTGACATTTCAAGTATGCTTAAGACACAATCCGGGTTTTTGAGTTAGTCTTTACACATGCGCGCACGCACACACACACACACACACACACACACAAAGTAAATGACTTAAGAGGAACAACTTTCTGAATGACAATTTGTGAAAACTACACCCAGAAGATTACCCAGATTTACCCAGATTAGACAAATAATACATAGGTAAACTAGTCATTTTAGAGCTACTGGACAAAGACAGGCATCTTGAAATCCAATAACACGGACATAGTAAAGCAACAATTATAGATATACTCCAACTCCGGATTAGGCCTTTAAAGAAAGCTTTATGATCGACCATTTATATGGTGCGCTGTACGAACTAAAATATTTTATATATTTATGACATTACGAAACTCTACCCAAAGTACAGATGTTAGAGAAGCACTTCTGGAAATAGGAAAACTCATTTTTTCTTCCTGTCCTGGGTGCATCTCGGACAAAACCTGACAGAGTAAAAGGAGGGGAATATGTTAATTTGCTGCAGAAAAAAAAAAGCGTAAGATTCCATGAATTACTATATTCTCATCACAGACAAAGAGAATAACACTGTTACTACTCAAAAACGTACCATTTTCCTTTGGGTTTTGTGGCGAGATCAACACAAGCAAAGTGAAACCACTCAATGGGGCACTAAAACCAAGAATAACAAAGAAAAATGTCAATTTAAAAATTAAACCTAAACTTGCTCAGTCAAAAAGGTTCTTACAATAAAGCTTAAGAAGAAATTATAAGTGAAAACCTACATCTGGGTTATCACATCCTATCATTTCTCCATATGACACCTGATGACACAGGCAGTATGTAGGTTCATTTGGATCGACCGGCATGTCCAACACGTCTGATGGCTGCATAGGCAGGAGAGCGTCACTCAAGTCTGGGCTAAAAGACCAACATACAGAGCATGGTTAGAACTAAATATAAACATGAGCCGATTATCCAGTAAACTTGAGTTTGATTGAAGCACTGGTTCAAACGTACCTGTTTTTCATCTTTTTCTTTCTGGGAGAATCTTCATCTGAACCTTTCCTTCCTCTTCCCCTGGATCCACGCTTCTCTCTCAGCCCCCGCACATCATTTTCTGGGGAAAATATTTGCATTATTACACACTTAAAACTCTTGAATTTTGTTGCGTTTATGATCAAAGGCGTGCAGTCACTCAGCTTACTTTTCAAACCTCTGCCATCTGTACTGTCATAGCTCACTTCTAGTTTCTCCTTGAGCTCATTCTCAAACCGTGCCAGATCTGCATCCAGCCTGCGGATATGTTTGTCCACCTACGGTAGAAAGATATTGTGCATATTTAAATCTGAGTACATGTACACACTGATGATGTAAATCTGATAAACAGGGACAAAAAACAAAAATAATATGACATTAGAATCAGTGGACAGTGACAGGAGACACATTGTTTCGGACTAACCATTTCATATGTCTGCATTGCGAGCTGGACTTTGTCATCACTGAACTCTTTGCACTTGCTGTAGGCATTCTGGATCTTTTGCAGGTGTTCAACTCGCTGCTCAGAAGCTAGATTCTTGACATTTGCGATGTACTCCTCAGCCAGTTTGTCGATCTCTCCTTTCTTTTCTGCACAACAACATGATTATTATAGTGCTGAATAAAACTAGTGATAAAATATTACATGTAAGCTTCCTATTTACAGTTATGGTCAGAAGTTTTCATACAGTTATTGTAGGCATGAATGCCATGGTAAGTTTGCATAGAGCTAAAACAGGGTCAAATGTTTTATTCATTTAAGTTTAAATTTTGATATTTAAAAAATATAAAAAAATAAAAACTATTTTTAAAAAAATTAATTATTTTGTATTGGATAAATTATTGGTTTTCATGCAAATCTAACATATCAATATGTTGCAACCTAATGTTTGTAACATTGATATACATTAAGGTGGGAAAAGATTTACCACAGCAACAAGGAATACTGTTATCCGATTGGTTTGTAGGTCACTTTCCCACAAGAGCTCTGAACTCCAAAATCGAATAATTTAATAATCCTGTTCATTTCTGTATATTATACTGAAATTAGAATCTGCCAATTTAATATGCCTTTAACCTTAATGTATATATAGAGTTCGTATCTCTTGCTATGAATTAATGATTTCCTTTAAATGATTTCCTTGAACTGTTCTTATTCCAGGGTGGAATGACTGCATCGCATAAATCTTTAATACCCTTATAAAACAAGACTTGGATGCACAAGTTTGAATATATTTTGGATTTTCTCTAGCCACAAAGGGTCGAAAGTGAGCGGATGTAAACTATTGACAACTGTTTGTCCAAGACTACTGGTAAGTGGTACAACCTAATACATAAGGAGCCTGGCTAAACTGGGTTTTCAGGTATCACAGATTATACTGTCAGAGCCATTTGTTTATTTTGTATAAGTCCATAGACCGTTTTATTGACTGTAATGTTAAGAGATTAAATTATCACCTTCAGTTCTGTTGTCCAGGTCCCGCATCAAAGTGAAGTTCCTTTGTAGCTCACATGGCAAGTTTTCAATGCCTAAAGAAAAGATTAGACAATATTAATGCCTAACAGTTCATTCCAATTACATTTTCTGAACATAATCATCACATTTAATTAATTATAACCTGTGCTGTAATGCCTTTTAAAAAGCCAAATGCACAAACTCAACTGAATGCTTCAAAATCAAAGAAATATAAATAAGAAGTAAAGAGCAGAGGTTATTATGACATTAATTACAACCTAGAAATCATTAAGCTTTACACTGAAGCCCTTCTTGTTCTACTTCCTCTCTTTATGGGTTTAATTCTGTCCAACCTGGTCACTCCCAATGCAAATCATAATCTTTAGCTTGACTACCTTCTGTATTTTTGTTAGCGTTCACTACCACCTACTCAACCCTTTCAGTCTTCCTGCTATCCTTCTGTCACAAATCTGCCCTGACACTTGTCTCTGCCCACTCCATCCTGCCTGCATTCTCTTCTTTACCTTTAATGCTAAAGGCTAAAATTAATTTTATCATTATACTAATATAACATTTCATACAACATTTAAAATACTTGAGGTCAAATCTGCACATTAAACACAACACAAATACCATCACAACCATACACTCACGTGTGCATGAATTGCAGAATGTTGTCGTGTAACAATCTGTCTGTACAAAATAACGCTTCACATGTATTACATTTGTCCCAAAAGCAGACATTATTAAGGGCTCGTGATAACAACAACTGTCAAGTAAATACACTCTGTACGCCATGTGACACACTTCAAACACCCCGCCCCGCGCGAAAACTGTTACGGGAAACGCGGTAACCAACAGGTTGTAAATGCTTTCCTATATAAAAACACAAACTGTGACTAAAATGAACCTAGCTTAAATATAAAGACGGTTAATATAACAATTTATATTTAAATGCCCTTATATAACTAATGCTAGTTGCGTAGCTACAGGCTGCTCCAACATTGCTAGCGCATGAATCAGAAACAGTTGCAACCTACAGTCAGT